TCAAGGTTTGTGATTCATCGCAGAGACCCAGGCGGCCAGCAATCGACGTCATTAAACATGAGCCCCTTTCTGTATAGAATGCTCGGGGCAACGCCATGACACTGAGCGTCTCCGTCATGCAGTTATGCCCTCAACAAATGAGCGAATGTATTGGCAACTGGATTCAATGGAAAGGATTCTGTGATTGTCTGTCGTATTCAGTGACTCACAGTTGTTAATCAGGTGCTGGCAGGCATGGACAAGGGCCTCCACATATCAGAACTGAATTCATTAGAAAATACAAAAACACTGCAAATGCCTGAGGTTTGGGGATATTGGAATGCGGTAACAACAAGCAGAATAGGAAGGTAATATGCATACAAATTCAAACTGAAGGGTTTGCATGGCTGCCATCTTGCTGGCCAACGCTTTTGTCCCACGGGGTATGCAAAATGGAGGTTTCCCTTTGGAACAAAAGAAAAGCCTTCGCAAATGGTTACCCGAGCAAAGTCTCTACACTAACATGTTTTATGTTACACAGTAAATGTCCCTTTAAACTACAGGTTTGTAAGTCCATTTTAGACATCCATTGTAAAGGATTTTCTGTATCGACCTCCCCGTAGTGTCAAATGGAAGGGGTGGCTCTTTAAAGATACCACAATCTTTTCTTCTGTGGTGAAGTCTCAATACTCTTTCCCACAATGTTGTCTGGACTATTAACCCCGAGCTGGACCGAGAGAGGGCGCAATTTTTTTCCAGCAAAACAGGCTACTTTGGTCGGAACTTCACTTCACTGGTTCACCAACGACTACGAGACGCACGCGCTTGCGCTACCAACAAAACGAACACCACCGACTAGCATGGCTCTTTTCAACTGATAGAGAGGCGCTTCTCAAGGCAGGTCACTACTGTGTGCCTCTGGTTACCAGTGTGTTGTCAAACCTCAGGGAATGAATATAACTGTTTCGTGTGTGAACCATCTTTTAAAGAAGATTGTTTTCAGTTACCAGGAATGACTTGCTTTAATTTGCTGGGCTACATGATCTGGGTCACACCTGTTTTTGTAATCAAATGGGTATACTTCTCCTTACAAAAACCTCCCTTTAAACATTTGAATCAAGAGGACTGAGACTCGAACCTGAGGCAAATTCGAAAGTTTGCCTATTCTTTCGCAGCCAATTTCTTCATTACTGAAGCTTGAAGAAGCAAAATACGTTGATGCATTGCTTGAGAGTTCTACCTTAAACGTCTGGTATCAAACTTGTAACATGCAAGTTTGCATCTCAGTGGAGTCACAAACTTAAAGAAGTTTTAAATGCTGAAGCAGGCTAAACGTGGTGTAATTCTCGTATTTAAAAAAAAAAAAAGAAATCACGACGATGCAGATTTATTAATCATGTTAAAGTCTTATCTCTTAGCTGTTCAATGTAACTGTCAACGTCTCTTAGAAATAAAATGAAAGATGAAAACCCCATTTGAAATGAAGACAGTGAATGTGAACCCAAAATACTTCCTGAACGATTATCTCATTGGGATCTTGAAAGCTACATATAACGATTTGTATGAAACCTCAAATGGATCGCACAGCAACAAGATGCTTTTTCAAGCGGAAGAGGACCCACAAAGTAGAAGTCTAGAGCGAGTGAACTTTGCTAGATGTCTGACTTGATAACAGTGCTGACCTCGAATGAAGGATATAGCGAGCTTAACAAACCGCCCAAAGTCTAGCTCGACTTTTTTCGCAGCCAGTAAGGGTTTGGATGTTATCCAAATTGCAAACGTTTCTGCATGAGCTGGTTTCATTACGCCGACAATCTACGTACGTGGGCAGAGGACCGTGGACAATAAAGGGCATGCTGTACAACCTACCGGTACTTGGGGGTTATCTGTGCAGCTTCGAACTTCCAGTGATTGCTATCACGCCTTTATGTACTTGAAGCGAGTGCTAGGTAATAGCCGTACTGTGATAAGCTCAATTGGTTCCCTCTGAGCTATTTTCTCGGACCGACAAGTTTCAACGTTGCCTGACCTTCAGATGATAGGTTTTACAATTAGAGTTCACGGTACTCTCGAGTCCCAAGACAAGTTATTCGGTTGGGGTTCGTGAGAGACATTGAGGCGTTGCCACATCCAACAGTACCAAGGGTTGAACGAAATGTTGTTACCAAAGCGGAATACGCACCTGTTGTTTTGAGTTTCAGGCCAGAGATAACATCATTAGATTTTGTGCCAAGGGACATGAGGTAAATTTGACGCTCAGGGTGGAGTTTTCAAGTGCATGCTTTTGGCTACGCGTTATTTCCTACCCATTTCCCTTTGCAGTGGACCAGTTTGATTACTTGAAGAACAGTTTGGCTGATGGCAATCATTAGGTAATTTGATAATTAAGAAAAGGCATCAAAACTGAAGGAGTTATAACAATTTCGTTGGGCTGAACTTATGTAGTACGTTTGTTGATTGGCATTTAAATAACTTCATTTGACTGATTTTGGCTTTCATTTGAAAGTGAACGTTGGTATGCCGGGGGAAAGAGCAAAATTAATCGTAAATGAGGTTTCTTGCATTTTTTGTTAGACAGGTCAGCCGGAACATAAACGGAAACAACTCGCATGTTTTGCACACGCACATGCAGAAACAACTGGAAAACCGCTCTGTCCAACGAGATACGAACATTATACGCGATGTCAGTGCGCAATTAAAGTAGGTATTTGAGACTCTCACAGCCAGAATTTCCGTTTACCAACCCCTGCAGTCTTTTGTATCCAGTGGCAACTGGAAGCATATTTCGAGAAATGGTTACTGCAATGTACAGTACTGGTAGCAAAATATGGCCGCTGCTGGGAAAATAAAGAAGAGGAAGGCTTAATGGTAATCAGGTGCAACTTGATCTAGTTCCACTATGATGGAAGATGTATAGGATGACATGGACCATGCTGACGAATTACTTTTGGATCAAAGGATTTTTTGGAAGAAAGCGAATACATATTGTTCGCTAGATTAATAAATACGTTTGTTGGTGTTATCACTATCATTTGCCAGGACTGACGCTTCACCCTTCGGTTTTGATGGCGCTAATGACGCATACATGTATCAATCTCTCCCAGGAAATCTTCTGACACGTGGAACAAATCCAAAACGGGAATAATATCTAGTGTTTGGGTAAGAAAATGTCACTGGGGGGATTTGGGTCCGTTTGGATAAGTCAGTGATCGGTTGCGACTGTTCTCCTGTAAAGAAATAGTTTGCCCAAAGAGAAAATGTTCTTGGTGTTTGTCTATGAATGGCTTCAACCTTTCTTTGTGACCTGCTTTTAACGCTTTCAGGATTTTATGTTCAACGGTAGAAAGTCAACGAAGTAACTGAATCCATATGGTGCTAGGGGGCGTATGTCAATGTACGCTCCATTCTGAGCAAAAGATGTAACGCGCTGTCCCATGATTGCTACCCAACATATACAAATACTCTAAAAAGGAAATTACAGAAAGTAAACTGCACGTTCGATGTCTTAGTAAACACTGATTTTACTTCCACTTTTATGTCCACTCGAGTTGAAGGACCAATTTGCTCAAACATATCACGGGAGCCGATACTTGAGCTCCAAGTGATGGTCTGTTGAAATAATTGGGGCGTGACACTTCGTGTTAGGTTTGGTTTGGGTTGCAGTCTTGTGTGCACGTTGAAACTTTCTTGGGAAATATATTTTGGGAGAAACTGGTATCGTGGTTTTTGTGGTCGTCAGCTGTAACAGGTTCCAGTATAGTCGGAGCATAGCGGGCTTCACGACGAGATGGCACCCGGAACGTTTTAATTAACAAAACATTGGTCGTCAATAGATATTGCCTGACAGATTAAAGTAGCCACGAGGCAGTCATTTTTGTGGTTGTAATGGTCTAGTAAATGAATTTGAATCAACTGGATAAATGGCCCGGCAGGAGGTGATTAAAACTATTGAACCCGAGAGTGCAACGCATTGCGTTTCCCTATGTTCTGATGAACTATCTCTAAGAACAAACGCTTACTACCTAGGAATGCTATCGAACAAAAGGCTTACCAAGGAGGACAGACAAAAATGCTTTCCACTCTGCGTCTCTTACCTCTTCAAAAGCCACACAAGCCCACACCGTGTCTACGAAAATAACTACGATTCCAGAATTCTGACTTCATGTACCTCCAAATGATCGATACTTGCGGCTGTTTCATTAAGCAAGTCCTAGGGCCCGACAAATTTTCTTGAGATGGATAAGATTTGGCCCTATCCGGTCTGGATCAATTCCTACGCTATATGTTGGTTACACGCAAACGCTCTGTATGTACATGTGCAACGTAGTTCCCGCATAGTGTATACAGCCGTCTTCAGACATCCACAGGAAATAGCTTGAAATAAAGTGCCACCCTAAATTACAATGAATTGTATGCTACACATACACCCGTAAATTGAGTTTGACATGTTTGCAAATGTTTGCATCTCACCGTATGCTGAACAAACCCTTTGCGTTGCTTTGGGAATTGATACTTCACAGTACTTGTTTTGTCTTTGGAAACCATCATAAGCTTGGGGGATGAAAAGCTAGATTTGATTTCGTAATGACTAATTCAAATTTCAGGAACTGGGAAATAAACTGTCAAGTTGGAAAATAAAATTTAAAACCAAACTGTAATATCACCGTCTTTATCGACAGTCATGCAGTATTGGGTGGCTTTAGTAAAGATATTTATATCATCATTATATTTTGGTGACTTATTGGGCGGTCTAAAGTACAATTAAATATCTACTTTCGGAAGGGATTACACCAACTTTTATGTGGTTATCTTATAGCAGTTGATATTGTATTTAGCAATCACATGGTATTCTGAAGCCAGAGAATTTTACTTTACCGGGACGTCTTTTAACAGCAGAGTGAAAAAGATCAAATTATCTTCATATGGTTAAACGTCTTGCTCTCTGGCCTCCAAGGCATAACAACAAAGTGAAAAATTCCACCGTCCATGCAAACCCAAAAAGAAAGATGCCTTTGACTCACCGTTCTCGGCAGAGGCTTGCCCGGACGTTGCAATGGATAGGAGTACAAGCGCCGTCCCATAGCAGGCGGCCAGTCCGCTCCGCTCCGCTGCATACATGGTTGTGATTAAGCCCAGACGGATCTGTGGAATATACAGTGTGCATACTAGAGACGTGAATATAAGACAGTCATGCGCAGATACTTTGCATTCGTGTGAACTCTGCGCAGAGTGATTAAAATAACTGGAAAATGGCAGGTACCTGCACCCCAAGCTGTAATATTGTTTGTATACCAGCATTATTCTTTATATGCATTATCTTTGCTAAATTACACCCATCATGCATCGAGTAAACAACGGGAAAAATCCGAAATTTGTTTCTAGTATCGAGAGAACGCAGGCAGGCTCTCTGTTCCGAGGAGCAGTGCATGCTTTGAGGAAGTATTATATAATTTGCAGAGTCCTAAAAAAATTTGCTTACATTTTGCTGCCTTTTCGTGTTCCTTTCCCTTCCATTTAATGTTCCTTCATACAACATAATTGTACGTGGTGCAATCTAATACCTAGAGGGGGAGTGCAATGTAGCTGCTGGCGCGTTCAGCTCACTAACATTTACCAGAGTAAAACAATAAAATTAAACAAGTTAGGCATTCCAACAGCGCATGCCCACACTGAAGTGCGTCCGAGGCCATTCGGAAATAAGAGGGACTAAATCTGAAGTTACGAACTCCAAATTTCCATGCGGAAGCAACACATTCCTCCTGTCATTTAATCAAGTATCTGCAGCGAATGTAACTTTTTTTTTACACAGAACAAATCTAAAAGTTCATTTACTAATTCTGCGGCTAGGTTTTGGCGTATGTGCTTTGTTGAAGCATAATTTATAATGCAGACGCACTTTATGCAGGTAGCCGCGCAGAAGCGGGTGCACCCAGCAGGTTTCAGTTTGCACGACGAGTTATCGCACTAGTAATTATATATAGCTCTATGTTTGTGTCTGAGAGACCTTGCCTTCACGAAGTACCGAACTGGCTCTTTCATCTTAAATGAATTGTGGAAACATGCCCTTTGTGGGTTAATTGCAGAATTAAATTACACGAACTGATGAACGTTGTACCTACTGCTACCAGCTGTTTGGTATTTCTTAAAGTGACACTACAGTGGGACTTTGGAAATTTTAAAAGCAATTATCGTTTTCTCGACAAATGCCAAGTTCTTTTACGCAGAAATGATCCATTTTGTACTGGTTTCTTTTTGCATCCCAAACCAATGATTGAATTCAATTCAATACAATACAACAGACATTCAGTTTGAACCCTTAAATAAACCAATACAAAGTGAAATAACATAAATTACAATACAATGATATCTAAGTTCAGATTAACAACAAAGGTAAGCAAGTTAACAAAATGAATTGAAGCTTATTAATTTAATAAGGTAGATAGACAAGGACCATTTTTCGGCCAGAACCAATTAAAAAAGTGGCGCGAACAGGTCACGTGATGGTGTTCTGATTTCAAAATAGTTGTCAGAAGATTTTACGTTTTGTTGATCATTCAATTCACAACATTCTATTCTATCAAAGCTTTTACTGAAGCCTTTGCTTGTCACAAATTACATGACATGTAGTTTACAGATTAAAAACCATTATCAGGTGTAAACGTGAATTTCACTTCACCCTATTAGGCCTATTCAATGTCTTTCCCATCTGCAAGTTAAAAAAATACACACTGCATTTTAGAAATCGTCCTTTAATACAGGTTATTTACAATAGTGGGCCTCCAAAAGTCTGCAACTCGTTGACCAATCACAACGCACGAAATCTGTCGACCCTTTCCAAACGCACATTGGGTCGACAGATTTCGCACATTATGATTGACCAACGCGTTTCCAGCTCATGCAGGCGAACTACTGTCAATCACCCGTATTGTACTACATTGAGATTAAAAGACAAAACTTAATACTTTCCAAAACAAAGCAGTTAGGTATGCCAAGCTGGATGAAGGATTGGATACATTTTTGTCCCACCTTCCTATGGCAGCTAAATTTACATAATTTGCACGAATCAAAAATGACAAAATTTAGAGCAAACTGGAATGCGGAGTTACGTGAAGTTGAACCGTTTTATCATGCGCATAAGTTGGTAGCGCTAATGTACACGTACCTTATGCGTGCATGCATCATAGACACATAACATTACGACGTAATAACATTTGGGAATGCTCTAGCGCTGGGGGCCCATGACAAATGGGAAGGCGATTTTAAGGAGACATACTGGCGTTTGACACAAGAGTTAGTTATTTATGTACAAAATACGTACTTAATTTTCCACTTCAGCTTATTTAAGTACTAACGCTATGAGTTAAATTCATATATTTGTATTTTTGTCTCGTGTGCAAAAATGTTGTCGTAATATTGGTAAACTCGGCGCCTTAGCATTAAAGCAATTAATACTGCGGTGGCACCTGGCTTATAGACAGGCGGCTTTAATTCTTCTTCAACAGGTAGAATCTTGTCACGCCGCTGACGCCCTTGTGCAACCGCGCCTCACGTTTCGGAACGCCTGCGTGTGTTTAAACCCGCAGAGCATGGAGACAAGGCAGTAACGGCGCCTTACTGGACGATTACATGGCATATACCACTTCACACCGCACCACGCGTAAACCACACTTCATCCGAACTACACAGTGCCCAAACTATACAACACAATCATACCACTCAAACTGAACTCTCGAATAACGGCACCAATGGGTTGTAATTTCAGTGCATTCCGAGTAAATGTGCTTTTGTGTCCCCTTTAACTCAATTTTGGTTTTTCGTTGCGCCTGCCTAGCGATATTGGATTCTTTCCAGGATTTCATGCTAATGAAAGAGTGGACATCATTTCTCGACACCAATGTTTGAATGAATGAAGAAACAAAGGTTTGTGGCAAGCCCGAAGCAACATACACGCACTTTGGACCGGTATGTAGTCAAGCTGAGTGAACGTTTGACGTAGTCAGAATATTCCAGAACTGAACAACCACATAAAATTTGCCCATGGCACTAGCAAGATCGGATGTTTGACGTAATGCATCGGAGAATCGCGTCCCTTGTCGTTGCTCTCTCCAGCAATTCCCATTTGGCTAACCGGAGATCAGCCCAAAGGACCGAGACCAGAGCGGAGATGCAGTCGTCACTATGTTTCCCAAAATGCTTTATACATCGCTGCTGTGACCTTTCGCGGTGAATGTGATGTCAAACATGGCAATGCTTTCAACTCCCAGGCACAAGTTTTAAAGGATGTGCGACACTGTACTGCCTGTGCTGGCGCTTTAAATGCAACGCTCGGAGACGCACAAAGTAATATGTACTATTTCTCGGGTCACTGCCGAAGTGAACTGAGTAATGTACTTGTAGAGAAAGTTTTCCTTTGCCATCAACAGATTGCACCACTAAGGTTGTGCGGATGTCGACGAGTAGCGAGCAATTGTCACTGAAGCACTGAAGTAAACCTTACCCGGCATATCGTTTGTTAATATCCATTTGACACAGTTGTTCTGATTTATTTGGAGCTAATTTCCCTCACATATTGGCATATAGATCCTTGTCCTCTATATGGTGGAACTCACTCCACCTGGCATTCATTTATGCTACAATTCACACAGAGCTCCCCAAAAGGCCCATCGCCCGTGGTACATGGCATTGACTACTAAACAGTTTGGATTATCCCTGATCCCACGGCTTGTCATACGCCTGTGCAATGAATATCAGACTAATTACCCCTGGTGCGCCGAAAGTGAAATGGTATTGATTAGAAAGAGTGACAACCGAAACCTACCAAGACTGTAACTCGTGATATTCCTAAACATCGTTGATTTCATGACTTGTTACGATTAGTAGATGTTGAAAACATTGTATTTGTTCAAAATGAAAGCAAATAAACTTTGTTCCGAACCTTACTGTGTGGTTGGAGTTTTTCGTATTTTTTTTTTTAAATCAAATTTCACGGACCTGTATATCAGTGGTACAGAACAAATATTAAGTGACTTTAATGTGTGGAATGGGAGTCCATATTCTACTCTGGACCACTCAGTATTTGAATAATTATTCTATTTTATACTTGCGTATAAAATATATCCCATTCACCTGTTACACAAATGTACAAAGCTATGATCTACATTCTCTGCTCTTTTTTTCTTTTGCGATGAATATCCAAACCGCACATTTAAAAATAATTAAATTGCGGCCGCATTTCAACCATACGATACATCCTCGTGCTTATGAGGCACACTGGTATAGTAGAAATAAACAGATGTAGGTAAATTTAAGTCATTTGCGCTATCTGTGCGCGGCTGCCTCAGAAATTCTCATTAGTATTCCATATGCCGCGGAGCTAGCCACAAAAACGCAAAAACGTTTTCTATTTTGTTATGCTAGAGAAGTTATTCTGGATAAACCAGTTTGTGCCAAATGGATTTTGTCGATTAAAAGGGGGAAATTCGATATGATTTGAGGATTATGCATGTGATCCCTTTTCGTTCATCCATTATGGATTTTTGTTCTTTAGGCTATGCTATTTGCTCCCGTAAATTTATTTTCTATTTTAGTCTCTTTTGTTGTTTTGTATATTCTGTGGCTAGAAGTGATAATTTAGGATTTTGATGGCTATGGTATTAAAGCAAAGGAGACAGTGCATTCCCACAACACTTCGAATGCACTCCAGCGGCCGACAGCAGGGTTTTAATTAAATTAATATTGCTGACCACGCTCGTATATACAATCCAAAACACTGAAGGCGACAATACAAGTGGCTAGAATGGATAACTCCCATTCCAATTAGCAGTCTGGTGCAGTCAAGCGTTGGTACTAAACAGTCGCATGGCAGCTTACCCGATGACGATCCATGATGATTTCTAATGTACATGTAATCTGGAATAAGACCCACTGCCCACTGCTCTGCATTATTAATTACTGACTTTTTTCAAGCGTTTTGGAGCCATAGTTGATATTCAAACAGCCATTTTTAAATCTATGCAAACAATTTTGCTTTATAACTGAATTATCGCCGCCACTGCTTGCCTTTAATACCGTCTTGCAAAAAGCATCTTCTGAAGCATGAAAGGAACACTAAGCTAAAGGAGGCGACATAAACTGCTCGAGGC